GTCTGCATCAAGCTGGGCGCAAGCTAAAAATACTGTAGCCTAGTTTAAACCCTGATGAGCACTTTTCAATAATTTTTTCCAATCCACAGTGAACTTCCTGGTCAAGAGCTCATTCACAAGCTGATGATTTGGTAGTGTGATAAGGTAGCCTTCCACTCGAGCTCTCAAGTGATTAGTGGCCTTACAAAATTTTTATAAACATGATGTTTTACATCCGCCCAATGACAGCTGAGATAGGCTCCAGCACCCCACCGCGACCCAGAAGGATAAGCGGTTTAGATGATGGATGGATGGATGGATGGATGGATGATGTTTTACAACTTAAAATGTTCCCAGTTCCTCTAGTGTGAGATGCGACATAATTGAAAAAGTGATTCAGGCATCAGCCAATGAGAGAGCTAGCAGAGAGGAAAAAAGGTGAAGGGATGTGTATGTGAGGTGATGGAGTAGCTTCTTGTTGAACACTGGCAAATGCATGAGTGCCTCTCTAACTTCAGTGGCTCTATAATAACCAGCTCTTGAAGGCACACAACTTGCCACTCCAAATCCTTCCCCAGATCACAGTGATATCCACGTTCCCCATCTGGATTTGTTTCGTGTATGGGCACAAACAAGTCCAGTCTGATTGTGTCACGTGATATTGGTGAGATTTAGGATTTTGGGGGCTTAGTTGGGCTGTTGTTGTGAAGTTGGGCTGTTAAGCTTCTAAGATGGCATGTTTTAGAATGTTTTTAGTACTACTTTACTACTTCATTCATACCTGTTTTAGTAGGAATTCTACACTGTTAAATGTGCACAAAGACACTGTGTCGGAATCCAGGCAGAGCGAGGCTACGTTAACAGATATCATCTTTCAAACTACAATAGTATGAATGGACACTCAGACTGGGCAGCTCAAAATATGCTAAAATATGCAGTCCCAGTGGATTAATGGCCCAACTCTACAATTTCGTGTGACGTGTGATATTCGCTTCTATTATTTTAAACATGTGATCAAATGATGAGTAACTGAGTAATGGTTTGTGTGAGTATGTGTCAGTAAGGGGTTGTTACACTGAAAAAATGGTTTCAAAAACTCAAGTGAGTAATCTGATTACTAAAAAAATTTTGAGTTCATTGAACAGAATGTAAAACACAGGTTATTGTTTTGTTAATATTAGAAATTCTATGAACTGAAAATTTTAAGGCAACCAGATTACTTTTTAAGTTAAAACACTGAATCCTTTTTTACAATGCAAGGATCTCATTGTTGACTTTAATGTTAAGGATGTCAGCTCTTGTGATATATACAGCGTCTATGCATATATGTCATTGAAATTGTGCTGGAATAGTCTTGGATGATGATTCACTAAATAGTGATAACTCTGCATTGTAGTTAATATAATAGTGTAACAGTTTTTCTTACTGATGAATACTGCTAAAGCTAAAAATTAGTATACTTGTTTAACAGTATCCTAGTAAAGACAGTATGACATCATGTATATTTCTTAGTACTGATCAGTATACCGGTATAGACAACATATTTCCCAGTACTGATCTGTATGCCAGTATAGACAATATATTTCCCAGTACTGATCAGTATGCCAGTATAAACAATATATTTCCCAGTACTGATCAGTGTACCAGTATAAACAACATATTTCCCAGGACTGATCAGTGTACCAGTACAAACAATATATTTCCGAGTACTGATCAGTATACTAGTATAGACAATATATTTCCCAGTATTGATCGGTATGCCAGTATAGACAATATATTTCCCAGTACTGATCAGTATGCCAGTATAGACAATATATTTCCCAGTACTGATCAGTGTACCAGTACAAACAACATATTTCCCAGTACTGATCAGTGTACCAGTACAAACAATATATTTCCGAGTACTGATCAGTATACTAGTATAGACAATATATTTCCCAGTACTGATCAGTATGCCAGTATAGACAATATATTTCCCAGTACTGATCTGTATGCCAGTATAGACAATATATTTCCCAGTACTGATCAGTGTACCAGTACAAACAATATATTTCCGAGTACTGATCAGTATACTAGTATAGACAATATATTTCCCAGTACTGATTAGTATGCCAGTATAGACAATATATTTCTCAGTACTGATCTGTATGCCAGTATAGACAATATATTTCCCAGTACTGATCAGTATGCCAGTATAGACAATATATTTCTCAGTACTGATCTGTATGCCAGTATAGACAATATATTTCCCAGTACTGATCAGTATGCCAGTATAGGCAATATATTTCCCAGTACTGATCAGTATGCCAGTATAGACAATATATTTCCCAGTACTGATCAGTATACCAGTATAAACAATATATTCCCCAGTACTGATCAGTATACCAGTATAGACAATATATTTCCCAGTGCTGATCAGTATACCAGTATAGACAATATATTTCCCTAATGATATATATATATTTTTTTATTCCATAACACCTTATAAACCACATTTTATTTATTATTATTTATTTTTGTGGTTGTTGGAAACGGACTTTACACAACAAGAACTCTAAGTGCAATATTGTGATTAATACCACCTTTATTAGAGAAATTAATGTGTTTTACATTATACATTAGCTGTCATTCTCTTTTCAAATGGATTTACAGCATTTTGGAATAAAACTCTTCAAATTTACTGAGCAGAGTGTCTATAGTGACCAGAATATTTTGTGTTTTCTTTCATAACATAGTGATACTATGACTGCTGTCAGAAAGAAAAAATAACGATACAAAGAAAAAAAGTATTCTTTACTCTAATGGTGACACATTGAGGTCATTCGGTTGGGTGTGAAACTGGGGCGAGTGAGCATATTTGACTTCCTCATGTCACGTCAGTCAAAACCTCTCACACACATACACACACACACACACACACACACACACACACACATGTTCTTACTTGTTCATTCTCCTTCTTTATCAAGATTAGTGTTAGAATTCCACAAAAACAATAGACCCACCTTTCGGAGCTCCTTTACAGCAGCTTGCTCACAACACAAACTTAATCCAAATACAATGCTGTGCAAAAGTCTTAGGCACCTAAGCACATAATAAAAGAAACATTTATATGTGAAACCGTGTGTTTCTACATGTAACAATAGCATATATATTATTAGAACAGATGCAAAAAAACAGATACAGTAAAAAGTAACAAGAATTCTTGTTTTCAGAATAAAGGTGCCCCCAGCAATCAAATGGATTTGTTAAATTCACACCAGCACACTACTGAATAATGCTTTGATTAAGCCAAACCAGGTATCAGTTATTAATTACTGGATTTCCATAAGGAGAGCTTTGAAAATAGTTTAAACAAACACCTGAACATATAGAAAATCTATTTATTGTATTAATGTTGCTTGTAGTCGTTGTAATTTTTATTATTTTTTTATCTGGGCGCATAAACACTTACTGCCCAGATTAATATCGTTTTAAATGTAATATTCACTCATGTGCTGAAAACTTTTGCACAGTATGTACATACATAAATATAAGTAGAAATACCTTATATAAGCAACAAAGAGGTGTGTTAAAGTTAGTGCATTGTGCTCTTCAGAGAATATTGTAGACATCAAGGTGACAATCTAAGGCATGTCAAACTGGGGACCTTCCGGGTCAAAGTGCTACGGAGATTATTGTTTACTCTCATCTACCGCTCTGAATTCAGTTTATGAAGGCCTTGCTAATTAGCTGATGAGCTGAATCAGGTGTGTTTAATGAGGCAGTGTGCTGAAGTCTGCAGTGTTTTTGACTGCAAGGACTGGAACCTGACGCATGTGGTCTAAGCTAATAGCTTTTAGATTTTAAAGCATTTATACTGCTGTTCAAAAGGTTGGAATTACTTAACCATAGAAATAACTGCAGTTTTTTTTTGCTTCAGCTATAACATATACAGTGTAGATTGAAATAGAACACTTTACTCAGTATTTCAAGTTTTGGGAACACCAAGAAATGGTAAATAATATACTTATAATTGTCTTATTTACGGTAATTTCTTGAAAAGTTATTTCCCTTGAGATTTGACCACTTTTCAAATGCAGCATGTGCTGAATGTTCATTTCAGAATAACTTTATTTCTCAGTGTTCTATAGCTTTCTCACTTACTGAGGACTCATCTTAAATTTCTTCTTTCTTTACAGCTTCCTACTAATTATTTAAAATCTTTTACAGTTACATACTAGAAAAGTATGTAATTGTAATTACATACTAGTAAAACCATTTCTTTTGTGTTTCTTCAGCAATCTGGTTTGATATAATTGAACACAGTGATTACTTTTAAATGAGGGAGTGTTTGCTTGCTTCAGTTCATGCTTTCTCATTTTTCAAAAATTTGTAATGGTCTTGGTTACTTGTGTTTCTCCTTGAAAGCACAGAATTTTTTAGGACACTTTGGGTGAAATGTCCACACACTGATTGAGTGTAATGCCACAGGAGAGTTGTATTTTTTAAGACTGTCACAATAACTTGATTAAACAAAAAATAATATATTGTGATAAGTTCACGTTCTGTATGAATCAACAGTGGGCTTAATGACATTACACATTTAACATAAACTGAAATTGTCCTACTGCCCTATAATACAGTGAGAAACAGCCTGATTTACAGTCTTATGCAAAAAAATTAATTTACGTTTTGCGAATTTTCTTAGTTCACACAAGACAACACACTTAAATATGGTATTTTCTGAACATTTTAGTGTACCATTTCTAGGATTGTTATTGTTCATTTGAGTCCACTTTTATTATTTGGTCTTTTTTACAAACTTACGGTACTCAATGAATCACCATTACTAATACAGTTAATAGTGACAGCCTTTGTATTCTTAAAAAAAGGAAAATGACAAAGATGAAAATTATTGTTGATGGTGGAAATGAATGACGAGTTTGATGAGATGAGTGGAAAATGGATATATACATGACACTGATGGAAAATTAAAGGACATGCATTTGAAAATCATCTCTCTCTTTCTCTGTCTACAGTGAATGAGTACCTGTTCATGGTGCAGGCCCGAGGGATGAGGATCCGGGAGAACGTGAGGAACATCGGAGCTCAGGTTCTGGAGCAGGTGGTGAGAAGTGCCTACAGCATCAATGGAACAGGTACAGAACGACACCTGAGTGCTCAACCAGGCGGAGTCCTGTCAGCCGCCATTAATAACTCATCTGCCTCGCTCGTAATTGAACATACAATAAACAGCAAAGCCATTTCCCTTCTGTACCGATAATAAAATGCCTACCATTACTGATGTGACAGGTCATTTGTTGTAAGTTGATGAATTTATGTATGAATCTGTGCTCTATCTCACGCTCTATCTTTTTCACTATGCATCTTTCTCTCTCTCTCTCTCTCTCCTCCCTCTCTCTCTCTCTCTCTCTCTCTTTCTCTCTAGACTATCCATATGATTTCAACCTGAGTGAAACAGCTGCTCCCCCCACTCCGTATCTGCCTGCAGGATTCACCTACCTGCCCACTGACATCTGTCCAGAGAGACTGCCCACCATGAGTATGTTGTGTCCAGATTCTTTTTTATTTCTGTTCTTTCCTAATTTCTTCTTTTTGAGTTTATTTGCTGAACTAAACATGTTAGGGACAAAAACACATAAAATTTGTCCTGTGCAAAACTTATGGGACATTTTATATTTTGTTTTGTTTATTTACAATATGATTAATTCAGACTTCAAAATTCATATTTAAGTTTTGAGGATTCGAGAGTTGGAGTTGACTCCAGAAAACCCAGAGTTGTCTATCACTCAGTAGAGCTCTTTTGCTTTTGCACATTCATGCATATAATTCAGAAACAGTCAAGCTGAGTGAAAACTGCCTATTTGAATATAATTTATCAGAAATTAAGTTAAATGTTTAAACAAAAGCATTGGTTAAACATCATTGTATTTAGGGGTGGGAATCTCTAGGCACGATTCGATTCGATTACGATTCAGTGGGCTACGATGCGATTATAAAACGATTATCGATGCATCTTTTTTCTATATAGCATTTATATTTTCTCACTGTGCTCAAGTTCGAATTCAAGTTTCAAGTTTATTTGTCACTTGCGCAACATGTCAGGACATTTATGCATTGAAATGCTTGTGGTGAGGCTCAGCTAATCACTCTACAGAAAGTAAATAAGTACAAATAAAAATACAAGAAAAACCAACTGAAATATTAAATATACACAAAATATGCACAGAATATAGAGACAATATTCATTTTAAAGTGACTAAGTGACTCTTTGTTATTGTTATTTAAAGTGACTTGGTACTTTTAAAGCAAAGTATTTGTAATGATCCATAATGAATTTACTTCCAATTTCTTTTTTAATAAAACAAATGGAAGTGATGTGGCAAGTGAACTAGAAGGCTCTCATTCAGTGCTCTTGTTGGGAGCACAAGAAGCTGTTGCTACTCATCTGCGATAAAATGCACAGTTACGGTGAAATAAGATCCAGTGGCAGTGGATGTCCACGCAGCACGTTACAGCTATTCTACCTGTTTTCTTTAGTTATTTTATAACTTAGGTTTTGGTCTCGTTGTAGAGACGGGGGGGGTCGCTGTGTCAGTAAAATATCTTTGAGACGGGACGTGTGAAACATAGCGCGAAAGCCCTGTTTTGCAACGACTGAGAACCGGCGTGCAGACTGCAGGTCACATAGCAGCGATGTGTTATTCACATTTATAAGCACTGCAGTTGGTTTCCTGGTACGTTAAATCTGCAATGAGAGACTGTCACACACTAAAAAGTGGTGAAGCTGAAGTCAGCTTCTCTTTCAAATTCTCCCATTCCACCTTAAATGGTGCCGCATTTACATTCGGCGTTAGAATTTAAGGTCGAACAGTTAAACTCGAACAAGAAGCTGGAGAATAAGAAGCGACTTCAGCCTCGTGAAACAGTCGAACGTTGAGAGACATTTAACTGATCTACTTCTGAGGAAAAGTTTTCTGGTGGAGATGGGAGGAAAGCGGCTATAGCTAAAGCTTAAAGCAGAGCGAAGTAAATCTGCGTTTTCGTTTATAATGTTTAGCCTATACTAGGACATTATCACATACTGAGACATACTGGACATTAAATGTTGCGGCTCCCAAGGTGGTTTGATTTTTGTTGAAAGGACAAAATGTTAACATTTGTGCTGTGACTCATGACCTAACCTGGTTTTCAATGCAGAGGGAGCCGGTCGGATTTCTCGCTCATCCAGTTGTGTTTTTGTTATGTGCCGCCACAGACTGTCCGGCCGCTGCACTTCCGCACTTCCAAGTTCCGCCTTTTGCGTTCCGTCAACATTACGTTATAAATTACGTATTTAGAAAATCGATTTTTGACATTTGTGAATTGATTCAGAATCGTTCACGTCTGCATCGTGATGCGTCTAAGAATCGATTTTTTTCCCGCACCCCTAATTGTATTCATCATTTAATGGTTAATCGGTTAATTATTAATAACCTAGAGTGTGCCTATTACTGTTGGTCAACTGATGTGACTGAAATTTCTGCTCAGTGGCAATCAAATCTGTAGCTGTATGGTCTACAGCATGTGTCAGGATCCAGTCCTTATGTGCCAAAACACTGCAGATTTCAGCACACTGCCTCATTAAACACACCTGAATCAGCTCATCAGCTAATTATCAAGGCCTTTATGAACTGAATTCAGAACGTTAGATGAGGGTAAACACTAATCGCTGTAGCACTCTGGCCCGGAAGGTCACCAGTTTGACATGCCTGGTCTACGGTGAAGTCTATAACTTGTATAGCTGGCTAGTGTGATATATTGTGATATGTCGTGCAAGCCAAGATTGATGACATTAAGAGGAGATTTTATTGAGAGAACTTCATTATTCTGGGATGTGTTGTTTTGAGTATTGTATGCTACACACTGCTTTCGTCATCCTCACAGAGTTTTCCTGTTAAAATCATGTCTCATGTCCCCTCAGAGGGCCGTTTGGTGGTGAATATGAGCGAGATAGCTCTGGAGGAGGTGGAGAGGAGCCTGCGGCACGCGGACCCCAGCCTGGGCCTCGGCGGCCACTGGAAGCCTCAGGACTGCATCCCCCGCTGGAAGGTGAGTTTGAATCTCATGCCTTTATCCTTCCCTCTCCCTACTATGTCACATCACATATCCATCTATTAATCCTTTTCCTTGTTCCCTACCATTTCATGCCCCTTTCAATTAGGAATGGGCATGGGTTTTTGAATATGTGGATATTGGAATTGGAATTATAGTTTTCTTTTTAGTGGGGTGTTTAAATAAGAATAAACTCAATATAAAGGAAAAAAAAACATGTATCTTGTCATTTTTAAATAATTTGTTAACTGAGCATTTGACAAAGAACAGAGAACAGCAGGACACCAGCAGTTGATATTTTGTCTCATGTTAAGTGAAATGGCCACATTTAAGTGGCTCTGTATGCGGAAGTATTGTGGATATTTAAATAGTAAAAAATGTCCATCCCTACCATCCACAGTGAGCCCAAAAAAGTATTTGGACACTTTACCCATTTAGACACTGGTAAATTTTTAGTACAGTGTCAAATTGATGGTGTGTGGAGAAAGCCTACAGAAGCAGACCAGACAGCACTAAGGGTACTGTAAAGCACAGAGATGAAAACATCTAAGTCTGGGGCTGTTTTTCTTTCAGTTGTGTCTGAGCTTGTGTTCACTGATGGGTCATTAACTCTGAATATACAAAGACATTTTGGATGCAAATGTGCAGAGGTGTATCAAGTAACTAAATATCAAGCTTGTAATAGTGTATTTAAAATACATGCCACTTGGTGTGACAATTTGTTTCCTAACACAGTGAACTTAATACATTTTATGTATGGCACAAATATCCAAATACTTTTTGGGGCATCTGTTTTTGGGGTGCACTGGTATCAGGATTGTGGGCAGATGCTGAAATCAGATATTTTTCCTTTACATAACTGCCAATGTAGACACGTAAACATATCCATATACAAGATGGCAGCACATTTAGAACACAGTGGCTACTTCAGGTCCAAAATATATCCTTTTGTATCTTGTAATCAGTTTTCCAAAGCATTTGTTTAACTGTTTATCATCATATATTTATATTTGATGCCAGTATATACTGTTCCACACTACTGTGTATCTGCATTCTGTGTAGTCTTGTTTGCACCATAAGACCTGAAGACAACATTTCGTCCCATAATATACAAGTTATATTGACGAATGGCAATAAAGATCACTTGACTTGACACTTGACTAAAGTGTAGAAATTGGGTGTTGGAATAGAACAAAATAGAATAGAATATCATTGTCTATTTTCATAAACAAAAAATGAATCCCTACACTGTGTGTCTGTTTATCCCAGGGTTCGGCAACCTAAATGTTAAGAAGAGCCATCTTGCCCTTTTACCAAAAAAATATATATAATATAAACGAAAACGCAGACTTACTTTGCTCTACTTTAAGCTTTATCTCAGTTGTAGCCGGTTTTCTCACATCTCCGACAGGAAACTTTTCCTCAAGAGTAGAATAGTTTCTTGTAAAATGTCTCTCAATGTTCAATTTTTACGAGGCTGAAGTCAGCTTCTCATTTGCCAGCTTCTTGTTAGAATTTTCCCGTTTTGCCTTTAATGGTTCAGCTTCTTGACTTTTTTGGTTGCAGATTAAACATATCAGGAAACCAGCTGAAGTGCTTATAAGTGCAAATAAGTCCATTCATCCCCAAATTATCTATGTTTGACTTAAATCTTTATCTTTTCCATTTCGTTTCGTACTAGCTAGGTAAGAGTGTCTGTGTTGCTATGGTGACCAACAGTCTGTGTCCCGATCTTCAGGGTTAAAGGGTGAATTAGCAATTATACATTCTCCAACTCCAGCGTTTAAGACCATTTATTGTTAAAACTGTGTTAAAACGATCAGCAGAGCTTTATTTTACTGCAAAGGAGAATTATTTTATTTTTACCTAATAATCTAATACTGCTGTGGAGCTGCAACAGGGCAGTAAAAGAGCCTCATGTTGCTGACCCCTGGTTTATCAATTTATCCAACTATCCATATATCTTTGATTTCTCAAAACTCTGTGTTAAAGGGGGTGAAAAAGAGCAGAGAACAGAAAGCTCTTCTCCCCATAGCACCACTTTGAAATACCACTCAGAACTAACTTTCCTAACTTTGTTGTGAATTGCTCAGGTCTTCTACTGACACCCATTCACACAGAAAGTTTTGTAACTTTATCATAGATGAGGTGAAAACTGCATTTACAATAGTTTCACTTGAAAATGTAAAAACAGAAATTATGGATTTCTTCTTTTTCTCTCTTTCTTTCTGACACCAGTTAAGTAGCTTCGGCTGTGCTTGTGTGTGATCACAGTTTAACAAAGACAGGACTTTGATGTCTGACGAGAATACTATAAAGCATAGACTCTTCTAGCCTGCAACTTCCCTTTATAGCACTGTGCAAAAAAAAGGATCTGTAAAGCTGTTTATCTGGGTAGTAAGATGTATTTGTTCAAAAAACAAACATTAGAATAAATGCAAAAAAAGAAAATAACAGTCCATTGTGGTTTGGTGTGTAAATATTTGCTTAATCATTTACAGAACTCCAGTATCATCCAACACTATTTTATTAAATTATTTAATTAATTCATCAAAATTTGGGAAAACTCACCTTATCTTCCATGCCTTCTTTCTTCCTGGATTAGGTGGCCATCTTGGTGCCTTTCCGAAATCGTCATGAGCATCTGCCTATCCTCTTCAGGCACCTCATCCCAGCGCTGCAGAGACAGAGGCTCCAGTTCGGCTTCTACGTTGTTGAACAGGTAAGGAAAGAAAGCAAATCAATTACAATATGATTCTTTAGGAAGTGATTCAGTGCCTTAAGAAATTTTAGGATTAGACACGATTTGACTTGATTATAATGGTAAGATTCAGAGTTACTTTTAAAAAATACCTACATACATATTTACAGTCATATGCAAAAGTTTGGGCGCCCTGGTCATAATTATTTAATTAAAGTTTTGTTGATTTTTTTAAGTGAAAAGAAGTTAACACCTCCTCTGCAATGAACATACTTTGCATTTGTGGGGGCGCATTATGCCATTTTATTTTATGCTTTTTCTCCAAAACAATAAACTTGGCAAAAATGAAATACAATTTGTGCAGAAAAATGCTATATATATGTTTGTTTTCTTTAGAGAATGTGTTATTTTCCATTAGAAAATCAGCAAACAGGATGTTCAAAGGTTTGCATACAACTGTATACAGTAGTGGAAGATGAGCAATAAAATAACACAATGGGATTTTTTTTAAATTCTCAACACTTAACTGCATGGAATGTACGCATGTATTTTTATTGTTCAGTAAATCTATTTGTCTATCCAACCAAGCTTATTTGTGTTTGTACATTTAAAAGAATTTAGAATTTTGGCCAAAAATAGAATGCATACCTGATTAAATATTAAATAAATTATAACTGCTGAAAACATCCCAAAATCAATGAAGCTGAATCTATACCTTCAACTCAATGCATCAGTGCGTGTATATGCATTTGTGTATATATAAATATATATATATATATATATATATATATATATATATATATATATATATATATATATATATATATATACACACACACACACACACATACATGCACACACACACACACCCGCACCCCCTAGAGGAGAGAGTTGTGTCACTGAAGCATGTTGAGACACAGCTGCCATACCTCTATTGGGAAACCATTAAGACCCGGCACCTGTCTTTATCTTACAGTGATGTAATGCACACCCACGCTGTAGCACATCCACTGGGGTGTCGTGGACCAACATTCCTATCGATGTTATCTCCCCTTCATAATGGTGGATGAGGGTTCAAAAGCGTTTATCTCCTCTCTGAGAGTGACAGAAGGCCAGAGTAATTCAGAGTATGATACGTAACATCCAGAAAATCTTTTGTCAGCACTCAGCAGCCAGTCATTTATCACTGACCATGAGATAACTGAAGTTACAGCAAGGTTCAAGTTTGTGTGTGTGTGTGTGCGTGTTCTTCACAGGCCAGTGATGAGCCCTTCAATCGTGCCATGCTGTTCAATGTGGGCTTTAAAGAGGCCATGAAGGACCTGCAATGGGACTGCGTAATATTTCATGACGTCGACCACATTCTGGAGAACGACCGGAACTATTACGGCTGCAGCGAAATGCCACGACACTTTGCTGTCAAGCTCAACAAGTACTCATACATGTAAGTACCTGGGGCGTAACCATACGATTTCACAATACCATGTGTTTTGTTGTTCTCAATATGTTTTCAGTAAAGAGAAAATTGTATTTGCCATTGTATGTGCACACCTATGACCGCCTCACAACAACTGCATTCTGTAATAATGCACCAACTCACTAAAAACCAATTTGCTGTAAATGGACTTTAATGCTGCTCGCATGGACCACAGAGTGTAGTAATAGATAAAGTAAGAACCTGGTTATACTGAGGGAAGACAACTTACTCTCTAGACAAATATTCATTGTTATTAATATGTAGTATTCATTTTGAATTAAAGTATTCCCTGAGTGATTCACTATAAAACTGCAAAATAAGAATGTTACTTGCAAGTCTTGCATGCTTTGTGCGTTTTTGGTAAGATCTGCCTTAAAACACTGGCATCGTTAGCTTGATGCCAACACAACATATAATTAAAAATTAGCATTATTGTTACAGTGGTAATTTAGTTAGTACTATAGTTATATAGGATGAGGCAAAGGTTTCTGCAATAAACATTGCTATATTATATTTTTCATTGTTATATGACAACAGTCCATCTTCAACAGTGGTGGAAGAATTGTTTTTTGAATTTAATTATTATTAATAAAGGTTAAATTCTTTAGTGAAGTTGTGTGTATTTTATATTTTATTTTGTTAGATTTTTATAAAAGCAGTAAACTACCTGAGGCCATGTGTTACAGTGATTTACCACTGTAGATGAGTTTTTACTTCGCACCCCTTACCCGTGATAAAATCCCAGTTACGCACAGAATCTTGTTGCTTATTGCATCATTACCAAAAACACAATTAACACAGCAGTTTTACCGAAAAATGTTCTTAGCCAACTTCCTTAGCAATGCACTGGAGTTTTGTTTTTGTATTTTTCTTTTAGGAATATCAAATGAGTATTTATAGTAGTATAGTATTTTAAGTGGAAACCATTCCAGTTTGTCATTATGTTTGATGTCACAAATATATTATGTATGAAAGTATGTAATGAATTATGTGATTCACACCTCATGTTGTCTCTCAACTCTTCATTGAAAATCTTAGTGTTTGTATGCATGAGCACACTCTCCTTTAGGCTTAGCCAGCCGAAGCTTTCCCACACAGGCACTTCTGTTTTTATCCTGTCACATCCTATGAAGTTAAACAAGAAAATGTTGACTCTTGGGAGACTTCTTTTATTGACCTCTATTCTGTTTTTCCATACTACTCATTGTTTTTTTCTCATTTTGTTTGTTTGCGTAGGCTTCCCTATGATGAGTTTTTTGGTGGTGTCAGCGGCCTTACTTCCAAGCAGTTTCAGAAGATAAATGGATTTCCCAATGCTTTCTGGGGTTGGGGAGGGGAGGATGATGACCTTTGGAACAGGTAAGTGCTAGCTAACTCACCTAAGCCAAACAGGAACTCCACTCTAAATTGTTTAACTCTAGCCTCACTAGCTTCCAAGCATGTCTAGCATAGTGTAGTTTGTCAAGGAATTTTTGACTAACCTTGGCAGTTTGACAGTGGACACATTCAACACACCTCTAGCAGCTGGAACTGGAAAATAAACTGGAAGTGAATTAGCAACAACACATTTAGTGATGTGGAATGACAATGACTGTAAATGCAGTTTATAGATGATGTATATGATGTTTTCCAATCAGATTTTTGGCTATGATAAGCAAATAAGTAAAAATGTGCAGATAATAATAAAACTGGAAGTTTTTTAGAAGTTTTGTAGTGTATTGGCACACCAGATATGTTTACAATCCACTCCTTAGACAAAGTCTTTGATACGGAGCTGGGTGTGACCTTCCTTTTTTTGTTCATGTATTACAGGGTTCAATATGCTGGCTACACCGTGAGCCGACCTCCGGGAGACATTGGACGCTATATGTCCATTCCTCACCACCACCGAGGAGAGGTCCAGTTTCTGGGGAGGTCAGTACCATTCCTCCATTCTGGTTACCAGCTGTGATACTAAAAAATGCAATGACCATAAACCTGCAGTGAAACTTTTACTGGATTCAGTACAGTTTGTATCCCACTTAGATTTTCAGTAGATGTTAGAAAACAGGATAGGTGTAAACAATAAGCAGCCCATCTGGAGCTATGACCCCATACTGAGTGTACAGGATCAGGTAGCAATTTTACAGTGTAATTTGGAATAACTTTACTGCAGTTATTAAATCTGACCATCGTTGTATTCCAGAGATGTTAGTTTTCTCAATCACCTTAATCATGAGTCTTATGAACGTTAAGTTTTTTTTTTTTGTTTGTTTGTTTTAGCTTGAGCAGTGTTGGCCACAAGAAGGAAGCAAGAAGGCTAATCAGCCAATTTAGCCGCTTTAGGCTTGTATTTTAAAAGTTGCATACAGTTAACAAAAAGACAATTTATTTTGTTAATAATAATTATTTATATGGCAACTGATTGCCAGCTAAAATTTATTTCCTAATTGTGACAAGCCTATATTCAAAGCATTTTGTTTCATATTTGAAGGATTTTGTTGCAAAACTCATTATAGACCACTTTGACACATATAAGAAGTATCAGTGCTATATTATGATTGATACTACTTTTTTTAGAGAAATAAAAATGTGTTTTCCATTAACATCAGCTTTTATTCTTTTGAAAAACTCTTTCTGTCCAAAATTGTTACAAAATTGATACAGACATATATGTGTTTGCTTGCACTGTCCTGGGTTAATACAACTTGGTAAATAAGATAATACAAATTCAGAATCGTACCTAATAGTTGAATTAAATCATGAAATCTGAAATTTGTGAACAACTCGAAAGAATCCTCCTAGTTATAATGAAGGAGAAATCTTTGCTGAATGAATGACCGTCTGTCTGTTATTTTTCAGGTACACGTTACTCCGACACTCCAAGGAGCGGCAGAGGCTGGACGGCCTGAACAACCTGCGCTACTCCCCCCAAGTGTCCCGACGGAGTCTGTACACCAACGTATCTGTTGCTCTGAGCCGAGACTTGGCCCTCGTTGCAGACTATTAACAACCATCACTCTGTCACATTCACACTTGAGCAGAGGACAGGACACGAATCAGTCCTGCCCAACTCAACCCTATCACCTAGCAAGGCCAGAACACCTTTCAGGACTCATCTTCTCACTGCTCCACAAACCTCTGCGGAACATTTCACTTTTGTTTTCAATTTTCATTTCATACCATTTTTGCTCTAGAGAAGGAAAGACGACGCAGTCCTGCATCATACTGCTACAGGCTAAATTTGAGGAGGAACTGTTTTTTGTGAGCTTTCTTTTATATCACATCACACTTTTCAGGTATCGGGTCTCCGTCCGCCTTTTTGCAACACCATTTCGGCCTTTCGCTTCTGCTATTGCTTCGTTTGTTTAGCCACTCTTTCCCCTCATTCGTTTGCTAAATGGAACGGCTGAAGCTCACCTGCCCGGACTCTGGCCACGCCTAACCTCTCTGCTGACCAAACCAGACACCACCAGAGCAACGAGTGCCGTGTGTCTTCTAAACAGTCCACAGCGAGAGTGGAGTCATGTGTTTACAATGGGAATGAGTAAGCTATCCAGTGCGACAACAAGCATGGCGCTCAATGCGGATACATTAGTTGCTGCCACAGGAGAACGTCTCATTCCTTCATCTAGAATAAAGCGCAGCGGGTTCTGTGCAATACAATATAAACGAACATGCACTGATATAAATGGGATAGACACCATCAGACATGGTAGGCATCTTGTGTCACAACGAGTTTGAGTGTTTCTCGTGTGCATAGACTCTATTCGCATGCCCTTATCCAGTATGGTAACAGCGCACTAACTCACAGCCAAAACAAATGCATGGGGACCTGTTGGACGAGTTAATTTGAGGTTTGAGCGTATGATGGAGCAATACACAAGTGTAGGCCGTCCTGTTTACACCACTAGAAGATGACATAAGACATTCTTATAGACAGATTTTTTGCATTTCATTCTTTCAGTCATGAGAGAGTGGGTGGGGTTTCGCACTGACTGCTAATGCCATGCTAGAATGCACTAAGAAAAGGCAATAGACTATGCAAACCCCTCTGACGCATCTACTAAAAAATATATATAATAACAGAGGAGGGCATTGAAAAAGTCTATTGTGACTCCATGCAATTGTTGTGCTCTTTATGTATACGTATTGGCTTTGTGTATGCGTGTAAGATTGAAGAGGGCTATGCAAAAAGGTGACATAATTGTTGTGGAATTGAAGGCTGCCTGTGTTCTCTGAAAGTGTTTGTCCTCTATCCTTTGTGCAGGTCTGGATTAAAGGAATACGTCACTTAAAACCAGCAAAGTTGTTGACTAAAGGCTAGTGATGCAGCTATGATAAACCACTAGCCACCACTAGCTGTTGTTCATCATTAGCCAGGTTAGTCTTATTAGGTGATCTTATTAGGTTCACCAAAAACTACAAAAAAATGTTAAATATTAAGCGATGGCTAGTGCTGGCCAAATGCAACCAAGATAACCACTAGCTTTAAATTAGCATTAGGCAATTTTGTCATTTAGCTGAACTTTTCACCTAAAACTACAAAAAAAGTTGCTCCATATTGAGTTAAGCCTAGAAATGGCCAAATGCAACCAAGATAACCACTAGCCACCACTAGCTTTCATTATTTTACTCTATTCTGTTCTTAGGTGATGTATTCTTTTAAGAGAAGACCACTTGGTGTTTCAAAATTGAAGTTGCGATGATGCCCGTTTTTCAGGGTTATGCAACCAGCTGTACATTTCTGTATAGTGATGTTTACACAGTGATGTTTATGGTGTTTAAAACACACTGGGTTCACTGTTTAGCGGACATCATGTCTGGTTTACACAGGGCTTCTATCATTCTTAACCCAATGTTCTCTCCAACCTCTGCAACATTTTCCAAGCTCTGCAACATCATAATTTAGTCAGAGTAGGAGGCACATAAGCTAGACACTATGCCGATGCCTCTGATTAAGTCATTACAGCAAGAAATTAATCATCAGCCATTTCTGGGCACACAACCAGAAGGCATTGGCAGTAACTTCTGTCTGAAAGGGAGAGTTGGACAGACATGGGCAGTATAGGAACAGAAGCTGCTAGAGTAGTGGTAGGAAGATGTCATAGCAGTATATTTTTGTGCTTTAATAGAGGAACATTTTTTTAATTTACACATTTGGATCACTGGAGAAAGGCTGCAGAATATGCTTTGCCATAAATTTACACTAGTGTTCAGAAGGTTGGAATCACATATTAAAAATGGCTGTTATTTTATTCAACAATAGCTCATACAGTGTGGATTGAAAACCAACAGTTATTAAAATATACATAATATACTGTTAATTATCTGAACATACGGTATATATATAGCTTTTTCATTCATTTTGGAATCTTTCTAATACTGGACATTTTTATCTCCTTTTTCTTTTAACAGTCGATTGGTCGAATTTGTGAAGTTGTGGAGGAGTAGCATCAAATTACACACAGATTGTTAGAAAGGTATTTTGCGTAATGCCATAAAACCATTTTGGATACTTAAAAAACATTTCAGTGAAGAAAGTCAGATGTGTGGGTATGAAGAACCTCTTGAAAGTTTAAAGAACCTCCACATATTATATAGTTTCTAGGAAGAATACTTCATTTTATAGAGAACCCTGACCTTGTGCTGATTCTTGTGATGAGATGGTCCACATCTTTGCTTTATCCCGATGTGTTGCAAATTAGATGGGAGCAAAAATTGGACCATCTGGGGGTCCCTGAGGACCAAATTTGAGAACCCCTGCCCTAAAGAACCTTTCAGTGAAGAATCATTTTTGTAAATAAAATGTACAAGTGAGAAGAACCCTTTTTGAAGTTTGAAGAACTTCCACAGACGTAAAGTCTGTACTAAGAACCCTTAAATTGGTTAAAGAACCTTTACATTATGTGAATGTTCTTTATAGCTTTGAAATGTTCTTCACACTCACACATTTCATTTGCAAACATGGTTCTTCAAGGCACTAAAATGATTCTTCTGTGTGTAGATTCATTTTATTTTATTGAAAGCTTTTGAATGTGATTCCAAACTTATGAACGGTAGTGTAGATGATAAATTAGTTGTGTAAATGTTGTGCAAACATCCCACAATATCAGTTAACACACCTGTTTTAATCATACGACAAAGAATAATATTACCATGACATGAATTAGGATGTACTGCCTGCTCCTACGTTGAGTGCGTGTATGTGTTTGCATAGGTTACATTATACCTCTGCAGTACACTGGGAAGTCAATATCCCAGAGCACACAGCCTCTTCTCACTATTCAGCATGTGTTTATACATAACAGACCCTCATTTCCCCTGTTCAGTCGGTGCCTCTAGCTACCTCTATGCCAGTTAAACTAACTGTGGCCATAGGTGAAGCCATTTGTAATGATCCATTAGAGGCTATGTGGGATGTTTAATTTGAGGGCCAGGCTCGGACAAAGGGCCTGCAGATCAAACTAGATTGCGAAACTACACATGATCTTACACACCCACACGCACGCACACACATGCACTCTTATGCCCCCCCCCCACCCCCCCTTCATTTGACTGGAGCTCTATCACTACACGCAGGTTTCGTGGCTTGTTGTACATTGACCTGACGTATAGCGAGTTTAGTAGTGTCAGTTAGCGTGCGTGAAGTTGTGTATGTGTGTGTGTGTGCATTCATCCTAGAGGCTGGCCTCTTGTATTTATTCTTTTGTGGACCTGTGGTTGATTTTATTATTATTTTTTTATTATTATGTTTTGTTTCATTTGATTGTAATTGTGTAGAACGTGAAAAAAAAGATCTACTACTGTAAAATGAGCGGAGCTGTGATAAAAAAAAAAAAACAAACAAACAAAGCAAGCGCACTGAAACTGACACGAGCGTGTACGGTCGTGTTTTTTAGGTGAAGAAAGGCCGTACTGTATCTGCCGTTTAGCCGAATGGAGAGCCATTTTTATATGAGGACGCCTGAACGAGGGAGAGAGAGAAAGACTGTTTGTTAGTGGCAGCTTGTTCTCGCTTTTCCGAGCCCCTGTCCACCCCAGAATCCCATCGATAATCTATGGTGCTGACCTCAAAGACATGAGTATTGTGTGACTTGCTGCTTTTCCTTCTGTGACTGATCATTATGCTATATTTAGCTTTGGCTTCGTTTTTGATGCTTCTGTCCCTGGCACAGAGGCACATAATCTAATCACAGGGCCAAATACACTGAAGGTGGTGCAGTGGGAGGCTTATGCCAAGCAAATTACAGTCTTCTCTCCTCGCCCAGCGTCTGACGGAAATGGTTTGATAAAGCCAAGCCTGGGGGTCTGTACTTAGAACTGTGGTTAATGTATTTCGCCTGTAGTTGTGTCGTGTCACAGTAGTGACCTAGTGCTTAAATCCAGAACCAGCTTCTCTGATTGACACGTAATGACCAACATCACAGTACTGTGTCCGTAGGTGCTTTCCAGGCCTTCGTAAATAAGGATTTGATCTTGCCTGGTTCAGTTAAATGGTAAATAAATGAAAAATACTGGTCTTGAGGCACTAAAGGGGAACTATTCTCTGGAGGTTGCGAGTTTGATCCTTGGCGATGCCACAGCAATCCATGGCTGAGAGACCAAGAGAGCAAGACTAGTCTTGTTCTCGCCCAGTGGGCTTAAATATCCTTCCCTCTCCCCCCACCATTCAGAACAATACTAATCCAGCGCGATGCTGTGATATTGTAATGTAATAACATTTGGGGACAACAATGAGAAATTTTAGGTTAAATGTAAGTGCGAACAAACTGAATGTAAAATTCCTAAACTAGTCCAACGCTTTGTAAAGCCGGAGCTCAAAGTAGTGGGTGATGGTGCGCTCGTCAGCATTGTTCAACAGACAGGTCCCCCAAAAAACTAAAACTAAGCATGTCGACATGCACAGAGAACATAGCACGTCTCAGATGAAACCAGGCCTTTACACTCTTAGCTTGGTAGCTATGTGTGATAGGAGACTAAACCAGCTGCTGGAATTGGACACAACTATATTGGGAAGAAAGTTGAGTAATCTGGTCACAGATCAGTTGTAAGTGTCTTCAGAGACTGGTCTTCTTTATTTCTTTATTAGCCTCGTTTTATCTAAATCTCTCTGTGTATAGACCCCCTCATTGGCAGTCTCCATTCTACCAGAGCCATGTTAAATTTATTCATTCTGATCCATTCAGTATGACAGGGAGGAATCTTTCCCCCCTCGAACGAATGGCAGCCTTAAAAAAAGTTTTAATTTATTCAATATTATTACACTTTTTTTTATTTTTTTATAGTCAGATCTATTTAAAATTCTAATGCATATATACATGCAAGTCCACTTGTACATAGCGTTTAGTGTATTTTAGGAGTTAAAGATATAAAAAAGAAAGGTCTTACAAATCACAACAAAAGCTATAATAATATTGAACAAACATTCGGAGCTGTTTACCAGAGGTTGATTTGGTGCCATGTATGTTCTGCCATTGATCCTTATAATGTCACTAAAAAAATCCCACGTTTTCTAAAGGTAATGATTCAGCAGAGAGAAGTTTCTTAATTGGGAGTGACTCTGCCAGCCAAAAATCTAATCCATTCTCATTTCCCTGGCCTACCAAACCAACACTTTAATAATCATCTCCGAATTCTACATTCTTTTAAGTGTCTTTATATGAGTCCAACAGATATGTACGTTTAGATAAAAAAATAAATAAAATGATAATAATAAATGCTATCCTCTGTGATTGTAAGGAGATGGTGTCTCCTTGATCTAAAGCCATCTGCCACTATATCATTTGTCTCAGCCTTACGTGTTCGTGTTATATGCTTGGAGTATAGATGATGATTTGTATGACGTGAGAATTTTTTTTTTTTTATTGTTGAAATTGCAGAAGTACAAAAATAAAAGAGACAGCGTATCTGTGTTACTGTGTTGATTTTGCATGTATCAATAGATCAAATTTACAGTTTTCTTTTGCTCTAATTATTGAATTATCTTGAACATGTTGTTTGCACTAAGCTGACAGGTGCCATTGTAAGCAGAGGTCGGTAGTAATTACTAACACAGTGCACAAAGCGACCTCCTTTAAGTCATGGTTTGACGAGTTTGGTGTGGAGGAACTCCAGTGATCTGCGTAGAACCTGTGACAAAGGCTTTGGGATGAATTGAAACGTCGATTGTGAGCCAGGCCTTCTCATTCAACATCAGCGTCTGACCTCACAAATGCTCTTTTGACTGATTGGGCACAAATTCCCACAGACAAACTCCAAAATCTTGTGGAAAGCATCCTAGAATAGTTGAGGCTGTTATAGCCACAAAAGGGGGGCAACTCCACATTAATGCGTATGTTTTTGGAATGGGATGTCCTATAAGCTTAGATATGAAAACAGGAAAACTGTGATTTGATTTGATTCAATCACAAGCAGCTACTGTGGTCTAAATTCAAGCCTAAATAATTTGCACAGTGCAAAGAAGGTGGTTTACACACAATTTGAGAAACAGCCTGGCTGCTAGTTTGGTTTCCAGGGCATTCCCTCTCTCTAAAAAAGCAAGACACACATACATTTTCTGTCATAGATACACGGCTATACACTTAAAACCACTCATGGGGCATTTTAGCAGAGTGGCTGCTAACATTGCCATATAGTCTTTGCCATTCAAATAACAGGATTAGCCCAACACAATGTCATTGGAATTAGCTAGCTAGGCATTGTTTTATGGCAATTTTGAGACTGGATTTTGCCCTAAAACATATTGTTGCTGTCCAAAGAAAAACAAGTATCTCTAAAACAGTAACTTTACAGGAGAAGGCAAAAACATGTTCAATGTACGTTAATGTGAAGAGATTTTATTTCAGGCAATTTTGGGGCATTTCTGTTGGTCATGAAATCAAGCTTCATGAAATTTTCACGCGATGTAAACGACACCTGCTGTGCTCAAATGATGCACAAAAGTGTTTTTCTTTTGATTGCGACAATATAAAAAAAAGAAAATCCATGCCAGAGGTACATGCCAGCAGTTGTGTGGAAAAACCTTATTTTCAATTTTTTCCCAATTTATTTTCCCATTTTCCTCACAGGTTGACCACTTTTTTGCCAATCAACAAAATCACGCATAAAACTGAGATGACTGGTGGTTTTGGATAGTAAATAAAAAGGCTATATCTGTGTTGTAGACATTGTGACCACTGTAAAGGTAGCTGAGTCTAAGATTTGTCCTACAATGAACCATTTCAAACCAAACCACTGCATCTGACTGAATTATGCCAAAATGCTTTTAAATCAGTGGAATTCCTCTTTATTGATTTTCCTGTGTGCTTCCTGATTTGCTGTAAAGCACATTCCCGACTTCCAAAGAATCCATGTAGGTCAAGTAGCGGCCAACTTCACTTGCCAGCTATCCTTTTTACATTATACTTACTGTTACTCTGGGTGTGAATCTACTGTAAATGGCTTTATGAGGTTAATAAGCGACCGAGCGCATCCAGAATAAAACTATGAAGCTGCCGAGCAGGAAGCAGTGGCATTTACCCACAGGAAAAAAATAAAAGGTCACGCAGCATCCGCATCCTTCAGCTAACCCTCTGTGGAGCTAAAAGAGGATCTTTGCCGTTTCCTCTCTCACACAAGAGAGCGCCATCTTTGTCTCTTTCACTCTCCCCAGCTGCTGGCAGAGAAGCGCTGAATGGTAGGCTGTGTGGAGAGCATCCTCCTGCTCGGCACTCTGGGTATTTTTAGGGCTTGGCTTATTCAAAGGCCCTAAAAGATACTCTCTCACCGTCAGCGGCCCAAACGTGACAGCTATGGGGCCTGGTCGCCCTGACGACGGGAAGAAGAGCCGTGATGCTATTCATTTCCCCACTCCCTCGAAACATGATATTTCAAAGAGTGACTAAGGAGTTTCACCAGGCCAGGGAGATTATGCTGCTCACCGGTCACTGTTTTTCCTAGACAGACATGCACAGTGAAATGACCGGGCTGGTTCGACAAAGGACACACAAACATGTAGAACTTAATATTTTGTTTTTTGCTGAATAATATCAAAAGTATTTCAGCAATAGTACACTTTTAAAAAAGATGCTTCAGGGGTTCTTTAGTAAAGCAAATGGTTCTACATAGATCCACAAACATCCTTCATCGACGCAAAGAAACCTTTAATCATACAAAGGGTTCTCTGAGTGTTCGTGGTTCTGTGTAGAACCATTTGCTTTACTAATGAACCCCTGAAGAACCATCATTTTTAAGAGTGTACTATTGCTGAAATACTTTTGATACTTTTGCACTGGCACGAGTGGATCAGACACAGAAGTGCTGCTGGAGTTTTTTCAAACACTGTGTCCACTCACTGTCCACTCTATTAGACACTCCTACCTTGTCAGTCTACCTTGTAGATGTAAAGTCAGAAGATAGCTCGTCTGCTGCTGCACAGTTTGTGTTGGTCATCCTCTAGTCCTTCATCAGTGGTCACAGGACGCTGCCCTCAGGACGTTGTTGGCTGGATATTTTTGGTTGGTGGACTATTCTCAGTCCAGCGGTGACACTGAGGTGTCTAAAAACTCCAGCAGCACTGCTGTGTCTGATCCACTCAGACCAGCGCAACACACATTAACACACCACCACCACGACAGTGTTACTGCAGTGCTGAGAATGATCCACCACCCAAATAGGACCTGCTCTGTGAGGGTCTGTGGGGGTCCTGACCACTGAAGAACAGGGTAAAAGGGGGCTAATAAAGTATGCATAGTAACAGATGGACTACAGTCTGTAATTGTAGCACTACAAAGTGCACCTATATAGTAAGTGGAGCTGATAAAATGGACAATGAGCGTAGAAACAAGGAGGTGGTCATAATGTTATGCCTGACCGGTGTATATATAAGCTATATGGAACCATTTTCAAAAACGTTCTATATAGAGCCATATAAAATACATCCTTCATCAATCAGAAGAACGCTGTCATGATGCAAAAAAACTTTTAATCATGAAAAGGGTTCTTTGAGTGTTCGTGGTTCTATACAGAAACATTTG